ATTGTACCGAACAAGATACCAAGCATTTGAATTGAAATACTCGTCTTCACTGCCTTACCTTCGCTACACAAATAGTCGAACTGAAATTCCCACTCGCTAATCATTTTGAGCAGGATGAATTTAAATCTAAAGACGAAGACCATCATCAAGCTCTTCCGAACGACTGGAAGAAATATTTGGGTGTTGAACGATCACTTTACTCATAATAATGGATTTTATCATTAATTTTCATGAGGAATCTACAACTACGTGCCGGTGAATGTGGCCGAATAAGAGTATAACATTGGGCACTCACCTCAACATTTACGGATTTGAACTGATATTCTAGTTGGGGCACGCATTCGTTTTGCGGTCGCCACAGATCGTATTGTGCACATATATCACCACCGGTTGTGTTCGCATGAAAGTCACCACAACTTTTCACGATTGGTTGGAAACCTACAAATAGAGAGTCTTGATCGTCTCAATGTTATGAAGAATCAGGCCAAAATGGGACTGCATTTGTTCCACTTCGTCAAGTGACTTCCAAGGTAAACTTTCGTATCGAGCTAACAATTGGAAATCTGTGTGCTTATACGACCGAGCAACATTTTGATCACCATTAACAAATAAATTTATTTCAAACATCGTGTTTCTAAGACATAACTACGGCTCTAGTTCGAGTACAAAATGATTTTACATTCTCCAAATTGGAATGGAATGTAATTGCAACGAACCTCCGTAAACCATGTAAACCATATTGCAAAGCATATTGAATACAATGAATTCAGCTGAGCAAACAGCATGAAAATTGTACCATCCGAGTTGCAAGAAATCGTCCACAGTTTTCGTTGGAGTCTTCGGTGCTTCTTGTTCGATTTGAAGTTTGCTGGTCTCGTCAGCGGCCGGATCGGTCTCCAGACGCACTGGTGCCTTCGAGCCCTCTTCGGAACCCATAGCACGGTCTTATTTTTCTACCCTATAATATCCCTCAAAATATTTTCACTGAATAAGAAAGAATCTTTTCATCGCTTCCATCCTTCCAATAGTGCGGTTCGAACAACAATCGCATCTCAACGACAACGCTATCATGAAATATTGTGCATTCAACGAAGTCATGCAATTGATCAGTTTTGATCAGTTTTTGATCGTTTTTTCAAAGAACGAAGTTGATCAGTTTTTTCAAAGAATCTTCTGCCTGCACGTTTGAACACAATCGCTTACTCATGCGTAAGTTCACACAGTCGATTCCATTCAGTAATGTGATTCTGTTGAACATAGGAGAATGCAA